TACTTTCCAGATGCTGTACATTCCAACTTATTACATACTTCACCTGACATCACGTTCCAGGTCAGAGGGGCATCTGATTAATTAAAGTGAAGGCCCCTCGTATTTAAAGATGTCTGGGAAATACATGGCTAGGATTCATTTGAGCAATTCCATAACAGATTCCTGCATGCTTAAAGGTGAACTCCAGACAAAAAGCAAAGGACACAGGTGAAAGCCGCTCTGTATTCATGAATACATTATCTTTCAATGCAAGTGTTGTAAGCAACTGAATGGAAGCTCAGATTGGGAGAGGGAGAAGCGGCACACGGAGCCAAGCAGTTGTGCTGCAGTGCTGATGTGCTAACAAGGGGCATGCTGATAGGAGGAGAGAGTGGAGTGGTGGAGAGATGAGCTCATCGGTCTGCTGCTGCTTCTCCTTTTACTGTCCAAGCGCAGGCTGGGGGAGGGACAAAACCTATAAGTAATACTTAACTGCATTAGAGAAGAATCAGGTCTCCTGCCAATGCTAGACAGGGCTGTGCTTAAGCTCCCTTATATGAAGGGTTGTCCCTATAATGAGGCAGCCTGAGACGGTTGCTTCAGGTGGCATCTCATTGGTCACACCTGCGACCCCCTTTCTGACCAGCGTCCTGCCAAGCTTCTGGCAACCAGTGATATCAGCGAACTAGGCAGGATACCGAACAGGGGTACCATGCACAACCCTCTGCCCTTGGTAACTGCACCAGCCCTCACCCCCGGTTATGTGCACCGCCCACCCTTCCCGGCCTCAGGCAGCGAAAATTGTAGGGACCCCTCTGCTTATTTGTATCGCATCTGTCTATTTGGGTTTTTGCTATGGTATAGTCCACCTTTTGTAGAGGAGCCCCCAACAGCTGCCTTAAATACAAAAGAAAAATGCACCCTGTGATTCAGGTGAGGGCGGTTGGAGTTTTGGGTTTTGTCTTTGAGACCATTTCTCCCCCCCACACTCCCCCTTGGGTCCCCCCAACCCTTTCCTCCCCTTATCAGATCTTAAAGGTAGCCATTCCATTTCCCGTAGAGAACCGCTTCCCAGGTAATTGGGATCAGGTAAAGGCCGGGGGCTCATTCCTCAGAAATAGGCTCGCGTGGCAAGTGTGAAAACCTCGGAGAGCCGTTAATGATTATTGGAAATTGTGAGGAAGCTGCAGGGAGAGCCGGCGCTGTACCCGGGCTTCATGGAACCAACTAATTACGTATATAGAATGTTCCGAGAGGAGCAGGCGTGCCATTGGCAAGGAAAACGCAGATTTAGATTAGGACACATCAATATTTATGTCTCTTTGGAAACATGAGATGTGCTGCTACGAAGGGTGTGAAGTAAAGCGACTCTGCTCTCCCCAGCCGTGTTCCCTCTGCATTGAGCAACCGTTCAAGAGGTTTAATAACATAATACCTGGTGATGATGTTACAGTATAATGAAACCCTAGAACTGGTGGAATGGCAACCAAAAAAAAATAAATCAGTGGTTACAGTTATATTTCTATTCCTTGAAGTCCATGTGGTTCTTCTCCTAGCACCTTCCTGTTCATGCACCTTCATCCTACATGAGCAGGGCCGTCCCTATAACAGCAGGGCTGCCTCGGGTGGAATCTTTTTGGGTCACGTAGGGAGCCTCCAGGCTGAGTGGCAATGTTTGCAGAGCATCCCAGGTTGCTAGGAGTTGGGCATAGGCAGATGTGTAAGAGCCATACACATATCCCCACCCAGCTCTTAGCAACCTGGGATGCTCTGGCCAGCGTCCCGCCCAGGTTCAATCAACCAGTGACGTCACTGATTGCCAGGAACTGAGTGGAACTCTCTGGCCAGGGTCAAGCCTCTCTCCTGGCAACCAGTGATGTCACTGGTTGCCAGAAACTCAGTGGAACTCTTTGGCCAGTGTCAAGCCCAGCACCTGACAACCATTGATGTCACTGATTGCCAGGAACTGAGTGGAACTCTATGGCCAGCGTCAAGCCCATCTCCTGGCAACCAGTGATGTCACTGGTTGCCAGAAACTCAGTGGAACTCTTTGGCCAGTGTCAAGCCCAGCACCTGGCAACCATTGATGTCACTGATTGCCAGGAACTGAGTGGAACTCTCTGGCCAGCGTCAAGCCCAGCACCTGACAACCATTGATGTCACTGATTGCCAGGAACTGAGTGGAACTCTCTGGCCAGCGTCAAGCCCTTCTCCTGGCAACCAGTGACATCACTGGTTGCCAGAAACTGAGTGGAACTCTCTGGCAAGGGTCAAGCCCAGCTCCCGGCAACCAGTTACTTCACTGGTTGCCAGGAACTGTCTGACTAGCGTCCAGCCCAGCTCTTGACAACAAGTGATATCTCTGGGTGGGACGCTGGCAAGAGCTGGGAAGGTGATGCAGAGGCCCCAACCCTGCCCCCACATCCCCTGTAACGTGCACCACCCCAAATCCCCCTGACAATGATGGGGACGTCCCTCATATATCTCCTGATGAAGTAGACCTGTGATCTAGGTAACGTGTCGAGAGTTATGCTCATTCAGCTGTTGGAATTAACTCCAAATTAATGGAGATAACAATTGTCTATGTAATCATAAGATATGATAATGGAAGTGGGTTTTGAGGTTGTTTGAGGATATTTACTGTTAATGTATTGAAAGATAAAACCATATAGAATTCTTCTTGTTTTTTATATATAATTATGAGATTTGGTGGGAATAAATAAACCTGTTGGTATATTGTAGTTGATGGTCTGCATATACTTGACCGTCTAATATAGTTTTTCATTCAACAATGTATCCTTTAATTTTAAACTTCTTTGTGCTGTAGTAAGCTATTGGGGGGATTGTAGTCAGCTAGAAGTGGGGGGAGGAATGTTTAACCCTATTATAACCAAGAGTCATTGAAGCCTGGATGCCCAGGTCAAGTTTAGCGGCATCAGTATTTTTCAGGCAACTTGACTTGAACTCTTTGAGTCATTTTCCCACCTAACCAATATATATATATACACTGAGGGGCCAAATTATTATGACCACCCCATCAATACTTCGTTGGGCCACCTCGTGACTCCACGAGATGATGAAAGGTGATGCGAGGAATCTGACACTGCACTGTTGCCCTTCTGTTGTCTTGTACCAGTCTTGCCCCTCCCCCGTTCTGCCCTAACATTGACTAGTCGCTGACGGCCACAATTCGCACGTTCATACCCAGATTTTCGGCTGACAGTCCGGTCTTTAAACACTTTAACAACAGCTGCTCTTGAACATTTAACACATTCTGCTGTTTTGCTGATACTCGCTCCATGGCTCTGAGCGCCAACAATCATCCCGCGTTCAAAGGCTGTTACATCGCGTTGTTTCCCCGTATCTTCAGAAAAAAATCACTTCTAATGTCGTGGTAACCAACCCGCTTCCCTATTTATAATGGTCTGGCCCTCTAGCAACTTCAGCGCCAAATTATAGCTCATTTGCCTACAAACGTCAGGTGGTCATAATAAACTGGCCACTCAGTGTATACATACAGCACATACAATAAGGAAGGGCCATTCCTGAAGATACTATTCTCTTTTTCTTTAGACACATACAATAAAAAAGGTTTGCACCGGTGAGGGAAAATAAAAGTCACACAGAGTTAAAAAGGGAGATTGATTCCACAATTCTTACACTTAATTCCATGTATTTGGGATATGGCCTGCCTTTGTGACAACCACGGGCTAACAGAGGGTGCTTTTTCCTGAACTTGAAGAAATATCTTGAATAGTGAGCCTGAGGTGTTAGCTGCAATGTGCAGAATAATTTTGCAATAACCTTTTTAGAGCACTGACTGCATTTCAGCAAGTCTTAAGTCATCTTCTGAGGGAGGAAAGGAGAGAGATTTAGATGGCAGCAAAAAAACTGTTGTCACAAAGGCAGGCCATATCCTAAATCATTTGCTGTAACAATCTAGTATTTTACTCAGCTCTTGTGAAGGATGCATAATATGACCAAGTAGGAGGACACCTGCCCATCATACCTACCTATATGGCCAAAACCTAGTGGACTCTCCTGCAAATGAGTTCAGGTGTCTCCAGTGAAGGGTCCTGATAATGCTACAGCATTGAAAGACATTGTAGATAATTGTGCCCTTCCAACCTTGTGATAATTGTTAAGGGAAGGACATTTTGTCCAATGTTTGTGGACAGCTGACCATCACAACTACTGCATGGGAAATCTCTGTGCACCCCCTCCAAAGGATTGAGTTCAGGTGTGTCCAGTGAAGGGTAGTGTTCATATTACAACGTACAAAAATATTATAGACAGTTGTGCTCTTCCATCCTTGTAGTAACAGTTTGGTGAAGGCCCTTTTCTGTTCCACCATGACTGTCCTCTGTGTACAAAGCCAGCTCCATAAAGACATGGGGTGACCAGTTTGGTGCGGAGGAACTCGAGTGAACAATAAGGTGGAGATTGATGTGCTGGTGACTTCTCATCACTTTGTTTGCCTGATGAAGGAACCTCATGCGGTTCTGAAACTTGGCTTTCCAGTGTGATGCCACGATAATCCAAGGTCAATAAAGTCGGAATGATAAGGTGGCGATTGGTGTGCTGGTGACTTCTCTTCTTTGCTCTCTTCAGTAAAGTGGACATCCTATAATGCCTTGGGGAACTGAAGCTCTAATTGTATGCAGTAGTCTTGCCTCACTGAGAGTTCATTAGCTGTTTGTGCTAGCTCATGAATTATCAACACGTCAGGCTTTAATCCATATCCTAAGGCATTGCTGTCACTCCTGCTTGGTGAGCCTCACCCTAGACCAGAGCAGGTAAGAACAGCCGATTATTGGTGGGATCACCAAGCAGGAAAACTACAAATAGAAAAAAAAAACTAGAATGCCAGCACTGGAACTAACTGGAACTAAAAAAAAAATTACAAAAAGTTTAGGACTTGTGGAATGATTTTCTTATCGGATGACTGTATTTAAATCCGGAAACCCTAATAAAAATATTCAAAATAAATATATATTTTGTGTTTTTACTTTTTTTCGCAGCACGTAAACTGAAGAAGTTGGGTAATCTGAAGGCTCAGGAAGAGTTGGAAGGATCTCCTGGCCAGGGAGAAGGAAGAGAGATGACACCAAACATGTCCATTCCACATCTCGAGGGCTATAGCTGCCAACCAATCTTCCTGAATGTGCTAGAGGCCATAGAGCCCATCGTGGTTTGCTCTGGACATGACAACAACCAGCCCGACAGTTTTGCATTGTTATTGAGCAGCCTCAACGAGCTGGGAGAGAGGCAGCTGGTGCACGTGGTGAAGTGGGCAAAGGCATTACCAGGTAGGCAATATTTTTAGGAACATGATGTAGAAAAAGGGAGGTGTGATACCTTGAAGCACAATCTGAGTGTGTTTCAGATTATTTCCTGTTTAACAAATTGCTGCAGTTAGTAAAATTGTATTTGTTATGCTGAAAAGCTAATTAGATTAGCAAAAATCTATGATTATATGATAGGTGTGGACTGATACACCATATGACCAAATGTATGTGTACACCTCACCATCACACTTACTATATGGCCAAAGGTGTGTGGACACCTGGTAATACTACATCATACAAAGACATTGTAGACAATTGTGCTCTTCCAGCCTTGTGGTAACAGTTTGGTGAAGACCCTTTTCTGTTCCACCATGACTGTCCCCTGTGTACAAAGCCAGCTCCATAAAGACATGGTTTCACTAGTTTGGTGCGGAGGAACTTGACTGGCCATGGTTTTTGCAATGGGGTGTCTACAAAGCCAACTCCATAAATACGTGGCTTGACCAGTTCGGTGTGGAGGAATTCGAAGGAATGTGAAGGTTCAAAGGAAGGGGTTTGCCTTTGGTACACTATATGGCCAAAAAGTATGTGGACATCCCTCCAAATGACAGTTCAGTTCCACAAAGCTGGCTCCATAAAGACGTGGCTTGACTAGTTTGGTGTGGAGGAACTTGAGTCTCCTGCACAGAACCCTGACCCCCAACCCTACTGAAAACCTTTGGGATGAATTGGAGCATCAATGATGAGCCAAGTCTTCTCATCTAACATCAGTGCCTGATTGTGAGCCATGCATAATCATGCATAATCATCTCCATAAAGACATGGCTTGACCAGTTTGTTGTGAAGGAACACAAGTGCCCCGCACAAAGCCCTGACCTCAACCCTACTGAAGACCTTTGTGATTAATTGGAATACCAATTGTGAGCCAGGTCTTCTCTTCCAACATCAGTACCTGACTTAAAAAATGGGCACAAATACCCTCAGGCACCCTCCAAAAGCTTGTGAAAAGCCTTCCCAGAAGAGTGGAGGCGTTAATAGCCATAAAGAGGGGCCAACTCCATATTACTGTCCATGGTTTTAAACCGGGGTGTCCAACAAGCTCATATAAGTGTGATGGTCAAGTGTCCACAAACATTGAACCATAATGTTACTTTTTACTAATATTTTAACAGTTTTTGTCTCCAGTCAACAACAATGTATCAATGTATAATCATCCTCTGCACCACCAATCTCAAGAAAATCAAACTCCATCCTACTGTATTTATTGTGCATCGGGTTGAGTTTCCTAAGAGAGTGCGATGTTTCACGAGGTTAACAAGCCAGACCGACGAGTGAGAAATGATGAGATAAGCCTCATTCGCTGTTAATTTCTTGAACATCAGATTGAATTACTCAATTAGAGAGCTATAAAATCCAATAGTGTTCCATTTGAATGAGAAGTCAAACTGAAATTAATAAGATAAGCTTCTGCTCATCTCAAGGCTTTTCTATCACGATGCGTTTCTAAAAAAAACAAAAGCTGAGCTCTAGGTGGATATGAAAACAACAATTGTATTAATTAATACATAATTAAATGTGTGTTTTTTAAATGCAGGGTGGTAGAGGGAGGAACAGCACAAGGAGCCAGTCAGTAGCGTGCTCATGTGCTAACAAGGAACATATATTTTGTGTATCATCTGTGTTTCTAAGTCCTCCACCCAGTGTATAGATGGGCAAATGTCATTCGCACGCCACTACCGCCAATAGATGGTGCTAAAGAACATATGGGTTTCCGATGCTCCTCGGTGCCATCCAGTGGTGGTAATGCCGTGTGAACAGCATTTGCCCAGCTAAACACGCCAAAGAGTATCCATTGTCCATTGCTGAACATGTCCTATCATCCAGTTAAAACTTATGTGAAGTCACTATTAAATTACACCATGCAACATTCCTAAGTTTCCCATGAAGTGCCATTGCTAACTTTATTCCTCTGCCACGTGACCACACAAGCTTTCCTGTTAATGGATGTCATGGCAGCATTGCCTGAGGGCAAGCAGCATCATGATTTATGGGTTCGCAAGGAACATGGCTCCTCGTCTACCAATATTGCATTACACAGTGCAACAGATGCTACTATTAGACTCCTGCTGGGACCACTGTCAATCAAATGAGCAAGGCTAGGCAGGGGCTGTGTCATCTATGCTCACTACAGGACTAAAGGCATGTCGTGCATTGGCAGAGCATCCTGTAGCTCCTATTAGGTACTAATCAGGGCCATCCCTTTAATGAGACAGCCAGGGCTGTTGCCTCAGGCAGCATCTCTTTGGATCACACTTCCTCTCTGCCTGTCACCCCCTTTCCACCCAGAGCATCCCAGGTTGCTAAGAGCTGGGCAGGGAGATGGGAGGGCCATACACATCTCCTTGCTCTGCTCTTAGCAACCTGGGGTGCTCTGGTCCGCATCTCACCCAGAGTGCAATGCCTGGTTGGCGGGAGCTGGGTAAGACATCGAGCTGAGCAGATCTGCGTCATACCCAGAGCATAATGCCTGGTTGCCAGAAGCTTGGTGGGACGCCGAGCTGAGCAGGTCCGCATCCCACCCAGAGCACAATGCCTGGTTGCCAGAAGCTGGATGGGACGCCGAGCCTAGCAGGGAGGGCGGCATCACTCAACCACCACAACCACCCCCCCAAAAAAGACTAGGGATGACACTGCTTGGCAGAATGCTGGAGCCGGCAGGATCATCTGGTATTTGCTCATAATTATCAGATTTATACAAAATAAAGATACATACCCATTAGTTCCTACGGGCTGATGAATATGCTTGTGGTGAATTTCATTATTACAATTTACAGACAATTCTGGAATCATCTGTTTTTTAGTTTATAAAGCAGAACCTTCCCCAAAATCCATTTCATGAAATGTTGAAATTGATGAACTCAAAGGTCAACTTTGTCATACTGAGATGGACATGTTACAGGAACTAGTTCAGAACAGATACCCTTCAGTAAGTCAAGCAAAAGGCAACTTTCAGACACAGTATCTGGTCAGCGAAATTTTTCAGTCCCGTCGTACATTCAGCACAGCTATGAAAATCATAAATTCATGACTCCAAGATGGGAGCTCTAAAGTGCTTAGAGGTCTTCAGGAAAGCCCATGAACACATTTTAAATTGACTGAGTTTACAAGCTCACGAGTTTCAACCAACTGTGTGTAGTGATCCTTAGAAGAACAGCTGCTTTCATTTTGCTGCTGAACATTTACATAAGTGTTATGTTGTAACAACTTTAATTTGAAAGAACAAAAGAAAATCCCCCAAAAAAGCAAAAATGTATTACAAACATTCTACTCCCGGGAACCTTGTCATTTGGCACCTAGAGGAGTAATAAAGGTTCTTTGTTGTATCAGCTAATCTTTTTGAAGTCTATTGGAAGTGTATGTCCAGCCAAAACATTTTTATTAATTTTATATAAAGCTGGGAAATGTTACATCTCTGAAAATCATTTTGGCTTGATATACACAGATAATGGATCAATAGGATGATAAGGTATAATCAAATAATCTTTTATGAGTCATATCAGTCTTGCTTCTTCAGGGCTTGAAGCAGATGAATGCAGTCCAATGTTGTCTTATTTATTGCACTTGAAGTCTTCATTCAGGGTCCCCCAGTGTTTGGCTGGCACCTATGGCCCAATGATTCATCAGGGCTTGAAGCAGATGAATGCAGTTTAATGTCTTATTATCTATTGCACATCAAGTCTTCATCCAGGTCCCCCCAGCCTACTGTGGCCACCTATGACCCAATGAGTCTTCAGGGTTTGAAGTAGATGCATGCAGTCCAATGTCGTCTTATCTATTGCACGTCAGGTCTTCATCCAGGTCCCCCCAGCCTACTGTGGCCACCTATGACCCAATGAGTCTTCAGGGTTTGAAGTAGATGCATGCAGTCCAATGTCGTCTTAGCTATTGCACGTCAAGTCTTCATCCAGGTTGCCCCAGCCTATTGTGGGCACCTATGGCCCAATGAGTCTTCAGCGCTTAAAGAAGATGCATGCAGTCCAATGTCGTCTTATCTATTGCACGTCAAGTCTTGATCCAGGGTCTCCCAGTGTTTGGCGGGCAACTATGGCCCAATGAGTCTTCAGGGCTTGAAGCTGATGCATGCAGTCCAATGTCGTCTTATCTCTTGCACGTTGAGTCTTCATCCAGGGTCCCCCAGCCTATTGTGGGCACCTATGGCCCGATGAGCTGCCTAACAACTACACTTATAAATGTTACAAGGTTACAACACCAAGCATTAAAACCTTATCAGATCCAGCGCCACCCAAAACAAATTTTCTGTTGTCAACTAATGTTATACATGGTTATATAAGAGCATTTTTTAGGTATGTAATATAAAGGTTTATTTTGTGTAATAGCTGAACCTCTGGCCAAGGAACATTGAGTAGTACATTTTGTTTAATTACTTTTAATGACATGTATTAAATAGGCGGCGTTGTAGTCAACAGGTGGAAAGTCAACATACATTTCATAATTCTAATAGATTTAGTAATGCACACTGTCACAAGCAACTGTGTACTGGTTTGGAAAAGATTTCATTTGTATAACCTTTTATAACCTCTGTAGCCGCAGGTACTGTGCAGCAATGCTTTCTTAAATTATACAGCAGAAGCACCGAAGTTATTGCAGTCTTTGTCTCAGCAGCTCTGCTCCTGAAGTAAATGAAAAAAGAGATAACTGATCTCTGTAGCTGCAGGCACTATGGTGACTTAGCAGCTCAGCTCCCGTTGCTCTCCCTATGCTACAGTGACTGGTTAGCTTGGCTTCCCCTGCTCCCCCTTTCAACAGTGACTCAACTGCACAGGTCCCCCTGCTCCTCCTTCCCGCAGTGACTTAGAAGATTAGCTCTCCTTGCTCCCCTCTCATAACAGTGGCTCAGTAGCCTTCCAATTTCCAATATAAAAACAGGGTAAAGCTCTGGAAAGGGGCAGCAGGGTGAGCTAAGCTGCCGAGTCAGTGCTGGGAGGTGAGAACAGGGGAAGCCAAGCTACCTAGACACTGCTAGGATGGGGAAGCTGAGATGCTGAGTCACTGCTGGGAGAAGGGAGCAAGGGCAACTGTGGTTCTTAGTCACTGCTGGGACAGGAGAGCAGGTTAAGCCGACCTGCTAAGTTAGTGTTGGGAGGGAGAGCAGGGGAAGCCAACCCACCTAGACACAGATAGGATGGGGAAGCAGGGGAAGCTGAGCTGCTAAGGCACTTCTGGGAGAAGGGAGCAGGGGCAACTGTGGTTCTTAGTCACTGCTGGGACAGGAGAGCAGGTTAAGCCGACCTGCTAAGTTAGTGTTGGGAGGGAGAGCAGGGGAAGCCAACCCACCTAGACACCCACCTGATAGGATGGGGAAGCTGAGCTAAAAAGTCACTGCTGAAAAGAAGGGAGCAGGGGCAACTGTGGCGCTGAATCACTGTTAGGTGGGGGAGTGAGGCATAAGAGGACTGAATTGTTGAGTCACCACTTAGAGGAGGGAGCAGGGGGAGCTTCAGAGAGAGACAAATTGAATAATATTACTGTTTCTTTGGAAATTTGAGAATGAATTTCTCCAGTGTACCTGCAGCTCCAGAGATCAGTGAGGGATTTTATTAAGGTTCATTTAATTTTTGTTAGCAATGTTTAAATACTGATTGGCCATTTCCTGGCCACAGAATTAACTAGCATTAACATTGATGGTCAGAATGTGTTCTTTGTGCTCTTAGTGGTTGAGTGTTTCATTTTGAGTTCCATGTGATGAGTGCAATGTGCCTTCTGCTGGAATGGCTGAATGAAATGTTGACACACAGACCAGCCGGGCACTGTTTGGACTTTAGGTGTCAGGAAGCTCAACTCAATTTGTATCCTTGTTAGAACAAAACCTATTTCAACCCTCAGAACCATGTCAGAGTTTGTTTGTGACTGTTGAGGATTGCTGTCTGTGGAGACGTGCCAATCGTTTGCTTTCCACCCCTTTAGGTTTCCGTAACCTGCATGTAAACGACCAAATGACCGTCATACAGTACTCCTGGATGGGCCTTATGATATTCGCTATGGGATGGAGGTCGTTCAAAAACGTCAACTCAAGAATGTTGTACTTTGCTCCAGATTTGGTGTTTAACGAGTAAGTTCCTTGTTCCATGTTTTATCTTATCTTCAAGAACATTAACAGCGGTATGAAACATGCAAAGCTGACTTTGCATATTTCGTAAAGCCAAAACACATGTAAATGTATAGTCTGTACATCCAGTGAATAGTTCGAGAATGAAGTCCCATGTAATTAAAAAAAAAAATGTTTCAGAGATACGAAGGTCACTACTGCCATCTCCATTGCTTATGTAATCAGGTTTCCAGCTATCTTCTCCGGGTTCTTGTAGCCAGCTCCCGGGTGGCGATTCATCAGGGGGCCAGCTGCAAGAACCAGCAGGAGACAGCTGGTCCCCTGATGATACCTAGGGGCACATGCTCCAAGGTGCACCCCGTTGTCTCCTGGAATACTGATGTCATGGATTCCAGGAGGATTCCGGGTGGTCTACAGTGCATACCACACTGGGTGGGGGGTTGAATAGAAAGCAATTCTCACCTAAAAGATAAAGTGCCAGGAGGACCCAAAAAGAATAAAGTGTTAGGGAGAAAAGAAGTATCCATATACAAGAGGGGACAATTAGGTAAAGTCTGTGGGAAGAGTGAAGGCCCCCCTTTAAGAGGTATCTGCTGGAGAAAAAATACACTTGCTGCAGATATAACATCCAGAAACCTTAAGGTGCACCTACACTTTATGGCCAACATCTAGAGAGAGACTTTCCACAAAAGGGTTTCTGTGGGATTTTGTGCCCATTTGTGAGGTCAGGTACTAATGTTCGATGAGACCTGTCTCACAATCGGAAATTATAATTCTCCCCAAAGGTGCTCAGTAGGGTTGAGGTCAGTGCTCTGTGCAGGACACTTGAGTTCCTTCAAACCAAACTGGTCAAGCCATGTCTTTATGGAGCTGGCTTTGTAAACAGGGGACAGTCATGGTGAAACAGAAAAGGAACTTCACAAAATTGTTACCTGGCTTGCAATCTACGTTACAGTTCATCCCAAAGGTGTTCAATAGGGTTGAGGTCAGGGCTCTGTGCAGGACACTGGTGTTCCTCCACACCGAACTGGTCACACCATGTCTTTATGAAGCTGGCTTTGTACACAGGGGACAGTCATGGTGGAACAGAAAAGGGTCTTCACCTAACTGTTACCAAAAGGTCGTCTCTATAATTTGAACCATACAGTGTACCTTGAATTGCCTCCAAAACCTTCCCATTAATGCCATATCTGGGCTGTTCTATCTAGTATATCTTCCGCACTTCCTGATAGTACCAAAGCTTGCCCACCCCTTTCCTGCCTCATAGTAATGGTCCAATAGGGATGTGTGTGTGAACAGGTCTTAGCATCAAGTACATTTGCTTGTCCAAATAGTTCGGCATTTGATTGATTTGGGAGACATAACTTGTAGTTGGGCTACTGACAGTATGAGTATGTAGTACGTTGAGGGTTTCTCTCTTTATGTTTATGGCCATGGAAAGTACATAGGTCAGTAAAAAAGAAGGAGCGTGCATGTCTTAGATCACTTCCTGCACATGAGTGTACAGTGTGCACTTTACAGCCGTGCTGTGCCGTTCCTGCGCACCGTGCGGCACCTGTAGGCTTTCAGTTCCATGTTAAGAATCCTTTCTTGCTAATGAACTTTAGTGCTCTGACCTCAGAAATGGAGATGACTAGTGTGAGAAAATAATGTCATCCTGTTGATTTGTTTACTGTCTACATTTGGCGAACGCTCTATTCATTTCATGGATTGCTTTTCTCCGGTATCACTCCTTAAGTATCCAGCATGCTGTCTGCCAAGAGTCAGGAAGTAGGCGGTTGGCAGACGAGCAATCATGATAACCCTTTCCTTCTCCATGGCTAGGAAAGGTGGCAGCTGGTATTACAGTATATTGAATTTTTGGGGAGATGTGAGGTAGAACCCAGTTGTTCCCGGGACAAATGTCCCCATTGGGAGGACTTGCTCTGTCTGTAGACCTCCTCCGACTGTATCTGCTAAAATTTCCACCACCTCTTCTCCTCCTAATTAGTCCTATTCATAAAGTCTCATGTGCATATAGCACGTGGCCTGATTACCAAAGCTCTACAATTCTCAATTAGCTACAAGGCGTGGTGCAAACTTCAAATATGAAGTTCAATTAGCTCAACCAAAGAGAAGAATTGCACTTTAATGCATGTATGACACTCAAAGAGGAACTTTACCCACAAAACTATCTACTTTTAAGGCATGCCAACCTCCAAGGTTGCCAGTGGGCATATTTCAGGCCGATCTTTCAAGCCCCGCGAATAGCCAATCACATGTGCAGCACTATGGCAACTGCAGTCCATACAGAGGCTAACATGGTACCTTCCTTGGCTGTAATAGTCTCAACAGGTCACCGGCACACACACAGATGAATTCAATATAGTTTTGCACTGCGCCATCCGTGTGATCACCATGAGCACCACCACCATTGGAAGTTTGCAGACCGTAAGAAGTGTGGGTGGTTCTTGGAAATAATTCCTTGACTGTAAGGGATAGGAGGTTGTAGTTCCACTTTAAAGACACTTTATCATATATTGCCTTCCTTAGTCTTCAGCACATAGATGCATGCCAGTCCATATTCCCTCCACATACCCTTCCATTCATAAGTGAATACAAGCTCAATGATTATGTGATGCCCATAGCAATGGAAGACTGCACCCTATGCAAAGTCTATTCATGGGTTAAGTACACCCTGCTAATGTGAACTTGATCACCTTTGGCATTTATCATTACTGTCCATAAACCTGACAGCTTAGTTTCCACCCGCAGCAACTGTATCCAATTACGAGCTTGAAAGACAGCACTTCATACAATACTTAACTGGGCTTGATCACTCTTCAGAAGGGAGCTGATGCATAAATTGTGCAGCAAGACTCCAACTCTCAGAGTCATCCCCAAGCCGGGGAACAATGCTCATAGGGCTATGACATTGACTGCGTAGATTACCAGACCAGATCCATCGCATCAACACGTTTCATCCATGTTGTGGACTTCATCAGAATGCTACAGTCCTCCATATTTATATCATGCACATAGTTCCACATTAAGAATCCTTTAGGAAAAGTCTACTTATAGACTTCGGTTTATTTGGATGTCTGTGACGCTTTCTGTCCAATAAAAGGGACATATTTATCTTTACTACTGAGTGCTGGTGATTTCCTGACTTTACTTATAGACTTCAACACTTTGACCTCAGAAATGGAGGTGAACAACGTGGGAAAATAATGTCATCCTGTTGATTTGTTTATTGTGTACATTTGGTGAACGCTCTACACATTACATCGCTTGCTTATCTCCAATCTCATGCCTTAAGCAGCCAACGTAAAGTCTGCCAAGTGTCAGGAAGTAGGCGGTTGGCAGAAGTGCACTCTCAGTAACCCTTTCCTTCTTCATATCTAGGAAAGGTGGCAGCTTACATTAAAGTTCATTTTCATTTAGAAAGAGTAGATAATGGTCAAAACCCTTGTCAATTGGCGATTCGCACAGTAGAGTACGGACAGGGGACCGGCCAGAGGAGGGTCACTTTGATGCAGTTATCCACAGACATCTCTCCACTTATATCCCTTTGGAAGAGTTCCCCTCTTTTCCTGTTATGGGGACAGCTTGGATTTTTGCATTTTCCATTACTTTCAGTCCCAGTGACAATGGTCACCAGGACAAGTAGATGGGGGGGTGGGTTTAACCCCTACTGCAGTTTTGCCTTTAGATAAACTATATGACAAAAGTTTTGCATTCATCTGACTATCACACCTGTTTCAGCTTGTTAGACATCCTCTTACAAAGCCATGAGCATAAAATCAAGCACACAGCCATGCAATCGCATTGATAAACATTAGCACACAAAGGCATTTTTGATAACTGGATTCTTCCTGCCTTGCGGTACTAGATTGGTGAAGGCCCTTTTTTTGTTTCCTGTGTACAAAGCCATACCCATAAAGACATGGTTTGACCAGTTTGATGAGAAGGAACTCGAGTTTCCTGCACAGAACCCTGACCTCAACCCTACTGAACACCTTTGGGATGAACTGGAATGTCAATTGTGAGCCAGGTCTTCTCATCCAACATCAGTACCTCACAAATAGACAAAATTCCCAAAGACACCCTCCAAAATCTTGTGGTCACAGTTGGGTGAAGACTCTTTTGTGTTCCACAATGACTGTCCCCTGTGTACAAAGCCAGCTCCATATGGCCAAAAAGTATGTGGACATCCCTCCAAATGACAGTTCAGTCGCACAAAGTCATCTCCATAAAGACATGGTTTGACCAGTTTGGTGTGGAGGAACTCGAGTGTCTTGCACAGACCCCTGGCACTCAACCCTAATGAACACCTTTGGGTTCATTTGGAATGCTGATTGTGAGTCAGGTCTCCTCATCCAACATCAGTACCTGACCTCACAACTGGCCACAAATTCCCACAGACACCCTCCAAATTCTTGTAAAAAGCCTTCCAGAGGAGTGGAAGATGTTATAGCCACAAAGGGGGCAACTCTATATTAATGGCCATGGTTTTGGAATGGGATGTCCACCAAGCTTATATAGATGTGATGATCAGGCGTGCACAGACCTTAGCAATATAGAGGAAGTGTATGATAGGCTGCATGGGGATTTTATTTGTAGCCAAATAGGGAAATGATGGCAGCTGGTCTGGCAGTCAGCACAACATACAGCAGAGAATATCATGTATTATTGCCTCTATTTAAAATATTACATTGACCTTCTCTAATTCAATAGGTACCGCATGCACAAATCACGCATGTACAGCCAGTGTGTTCGAATGCGTCACCTGTCGCAAGAATTTGGATGGTTACAGATCACACCAGAGGAGTTCCTGTGTATGAAGGCCCTTCTGCTCTTCAGCATTAGTAAGTACTGGAACATTATGTCCCCACTCACATTATGTAGAACTATGGAGAACTGGGTGCTCGAAATCCAGCAAGCATGTGCTCCTGCACTGTGCTTTTGATGCTTGGTGGGCCTCCCCATGATGTCTCAGATGCAATCCAAGCCTCCGTTGGATCCTCTCATCTTTTGCAGAAGCCTAATAGAGGGAATAAGGATGATGGCCTCATCCCACATAGGATCTCCCTAAATCTGCCATTTTAATTTTACCTTAGGGAAAGCGAAGAGAAGAATTATGGAGCAGAGAACTTGAAGTTGACTTGCTGCCTGGGTCTGCTGAAACTCTAACTAAACCTATACTGACCACCATCAGACTTAATTTGAAAAAGATGAAGCGCCTCACAAATGGTGGATATTCCATATATGTTTGAAAATCGAAAAAGACAAACTATTACTTTTTGGGGGTTCTGCAGAGCTTTCAATTCATGGCTCTTCAGAACCCCCTGAAGCATGTTGACTTGTCTTGTGTGATTTTTATGAACGGAGAAATATAGGTGGAGTCTCAACCATCAGTGTTGAGTTCCTTGGCTTGTTAGAACTTGCAACTAATACACAGTGATGACAATTCTACATCTGCCTTTGTGAACTGAAACTAATAATGGATTTTAATCTGACTTTTGGGTTTTTATAGCTTATTTCACTAACTGTAAAATTTGTCCCATGTGTTTTCAGTTCCTGTGGAAGGTCTGAAAGATCAGAAGTGCTTCGATGAGCTGCGGATGAACTACATTAAGGAACTAGATCGAGTCATCTCCTGCAAAAGGAACAACCCAGCTTCCAGCTCACGGCGGTTTTTCCAGCTCACCAAACTCCTGGATTCAGTGCAGCCAGTGAGTCAGGATATCTTTCTAAAATTACTTGCCAGTCCTGTATTATAAAAATCATCTATTTGTATTATTGATATCAAGAAAGGATTATTACCCAAACTGTGGCTAGTCACAGCAGCAGATACACTATGATGTAAAAAATTTGAGGACCCCTGATCTTCACATCTATATGAGCTTGTTGGGCATCCCATGCCAAAACCATGGTCAGTAATATGGAGTTGCCCTCTCCAACCCTGAATGGCCAATAATATGAAGTTGACCCCCACCTTTGGGCTAGAACAGCTTCCACTCTTCAGGGAAGGCTTTCCACAAGATTTTGGAGTACGTATTTGGGAATGTGTGCCCATTTGTAAAATCAGGTACTGATGTTGGATGAGAAGAACTGGCTCACCATCGGCATTCCAATTCATCCCAAAGGTGTTCAGTAGGTTGAGGTCAGGGCTCTGTGCAGGACACTCAAGTTCCTCCACACCAAACTGGTCACACCATGTCTTTACATTGTATGGACAGATGTTTGTGGGCATCTGACCATCTCACCTATAGGAACTATTTTGACATCCCATTCCAAAACTATGGCCATTAGTTATGGAGTTGGCTATACCATCCTCCACTCTTCTTTGAAGGCTTTCTAAAAGATTTTGCAGAGTGCCTGAGGGAATTTGTGAGGTCAGGTACTGATGTTGGATGAGAAGACCTGGCTCACAATTGTTGTTCCAATTCATCCCAAAAGTGTACAGTAGGGTTGAGGTCAGGGCTCCGTGCAGGGCACTCGAGTTGCTCCACACCAAACTGGTCACACCATGTCTTTATGGAGCTGGCTTTGTACACAGGGGACAGTAATAGTGGAACAGAAAAGGACCTTCACCATACTGTTACCACAAGATTTTGGAGGGTGTCTTTGGGAATTTGTCCCATATGTGAGGTCAGGTACTGATGTTGGATGAGAAGACCTGGCTCACAATTGGTATTGAGCTCAGGGCTCTTTGCATGTCACTGGAGTTCCTTCTTACCAAACCAGGCATACCATGTCTTTATTGAGCTGGCTTTGCACACAGGGCACAGTCAGGGTGGAACAGAAAAGGGTCTTCACCAAATTGTTACCACAAGGCTGGAAGAGCTTGATTGTCTACAATGTCTTTGTATGATGGAGTATTAATAGAAACTTCACTGGAGAAACCTCAACTCAATAATTTGAAGGGGGTGTCCTCATTTGGCCATAAGTGTATTTTCCCTTTCCTGCATGAAGTTTAGTATGGTGCATAGTCCTCTTCACAATTGTGTTTGGCCTTTATTATATGTCAGGGCAAAAAAAAAACATACAATTCATGGACATTTCCTGTGCTTTATCCCTTTAAAGACCCCAAAAGCACAGGAAATACCCGTTGATCTGCCAGGTGCACTGAGGTCCTAATTTTGTACTCCCAAGATAACTAGTAGGGCTAGTTAGACTCCTTGAGATAACACAGGACGTGTGCAAAGGAAAAAGGAAGGCTTCCGATTTCTGGCAGGATCAGCAGGGTTCTTTCCCTTATTGAACAGATAGCAAAACACATTCAATGGGATATTTAGCAGATTTAAAGGGACCACACAAGAGATGTTAAAGGAGAACTATGAGGAGAGTGATTTTCACTCACCTCATAGTTCTAGCCGACCTGTGACAATGAGACTGTCACAGGTCGGCTCAGTAGTATGGGAGGTGAGCGAACACATACCGGCATTCGCTCACCTCTCGATCCTGTCACGGCTCTCTGCCATGACAGGGGAGGGGCTGGATTCCCCCCTCCCCGCTCCGATCCGCCAGCGCTGACTGGCGGAACGGACGTGGGAGGGGGCGGGTACAGCTGGCTCTGCCTCTAGATAGGTAGAGCCAGCTGTCAGTCACGCAGCTGGGTGGATCCAGACATAATTGTCAGGATCCGCTTCAGCTTGGGCGTCTCAGTATACCGCGAGCTACAGCTCGCGGTATACTGAGCCTAGGGTGATGGGAGGACGCTAGTTTGTGTCCTCCCGTTACCCTAAGGAGAACTATGGGGAAAAGACTTAACCCCATAGTTCTCCTTTAAGTGACAATGTTTACATACACTTTAAGCGGCATGTGTACTTTATTCTTCTCTTTTTTCTTTTTTTAGATCGCTCGTGAGCTGCACCAGTTTACATTTGACCTCTTTGTGAAGGCCCAGATGGTGAGCGTGGATTTTCCTGAGATGATGTCCGAGATCATTTCTGTGCAGGTCCCAAAGATCCTGTCTGGAAGAGTGAAGCCCCTCTACTTCCACAGTTCATGAAGGTCCCCTCCGCGGGCCGCTTTCCCATACCCATGCAGTGTGCCTTAAGGGTCACCGTGTACAGATATGCAAAATGGGACTCCGCCTCCAGCCTCCACCGCGTCACGTCAGAACGGCGTGACCGCTAAAAGGGCCCCGTGTTGGCGTGCAGGACGACTGTCATGCAGACCACAAGCTTATACGTGTGCCATGTGACCGGCCCGCAGGAGGACACGCTGGGGTGCCATCACGGTTTTTACTAGCAGACTACAGCGCTTTATCGCTTTTTGGAGTACTTCAGTTTCAAAAGGGGGATTTCTGGGGGATTCTGGGAATGACGGATGCGGTTCGACACATTATACCGACGCGTCCATTTTTCGTATATATGTGGCAGTTTATACAACATTATGTACACAATGTAAAAAAGCTGTGCAGGGGCATGGATCGGAAAATACGTAAACCAGATCTGCTTTTGCAGTATTTGTCTAGACAGAAAAAAAAAAAAATCTTCAGCACGTCTCTGCAATACATGCCCAATGCCCATGTGTTAGCCCTTTAAAAACGCTAACAATACCTGAAATCCAGTGAGCCCTAACTTCCTGTCTAGAGCTGACAACTCTGCTATAATGAAATCTCAAGCGTAGTTGTCAGCCACTCCCAGTTTTCCTTTGAGGAGTACAGAGCACGCCCCCTTTATGTTATAGAGATGACAAGAAGGTGGGGTGTTCTTTGGCCAACAGGGAAGAACTGGGCATGGCTGACAGAGCTACTTGGGACTTCCATGCAGCAGAGGCAATGTTATCAGCTCACTACAGGAAGTTGGAGGCTCACTGGATTTTTGGAAGATTGACAGGTATTTCCTGTATCATTTTTAAAGAGACAGCGCATAGGGGAATTGTTCACGTATTGTGGAGATTTGCTGAAGATTTTGTTTTATTTTGCCCATGAACTTTAAGTATACACAGATCTCTATACCAAAAGAATGTCTTCTCCTGGCTGCAGACCCTAGGCAACATGGCAAGGACTTTTTTGCACTTGGTTATTTCCTTTGATAGATTTAATGTTGGTGATGTGCTCTTGTGTGCCGGCCAGGACATGTTGGGTCTACACTGCAAGCCAAAGTGATTGATTGAGTACTTCGGTCGGCAATGAAACAGCACTTTGGATACATGACCCTCTGATTGAGGAGCAGAG